TTCAGATATATACACACTGACATTTAAAGGTATAAAAAGAATAAAACTGTCCGGGATTCTCTGAGCTGATAGTCCCTAGAGATGCAGAGCTCGTAAACCACGTAAAACTATAGTGGATGAGGAAGACCACTGCAGTAAAAGTCTAACATGCAAAAGAAGCAAAGTACTCATTTTGTGGTGTAGGTAAATGAAATCCCAGGTCTGCAGGCTACATACTGTTGGCTACTAAAGAGATAGCCGATGATGTGAGATGTTCAATATATGGAAGTGAGGTAGCCCATGATGTGAGATGTTCAATATATGGAAGTGAGGTTAAACAGTCATGAGCAGGACGTGACGATTCCTTGGGTGAGCCCAGTACCAGAGCACCATGTATTCGCTCTGCATTTGTGGAAGCCTCCTTGGATGGCGGGGAATGCTCATGTTCTGCCCCTGCCTTCTTTTGAGGGCTGATCAGCATTATGTGGCCTCTCTGGACCAGCCTGATTGGGGCACCACCTGAAACCTGGGAAATAAAGATGACCACACAACAATGAGACTGCCATGTCCCCAGAAACTAACCTGAAAGGCTTAGCCGGTCAACAAATGCCCGCGAAAGTCGGATGTGTTGGCCGAAAGGTGCAAATATCGCAGCCATGCTGTAAACGGACACAACGCAATTACATCTTCGGATGAACGCAGAAGAAACAACACAACACTGAGTTAGTAATGTTGGTTCTCCAGCACAACATCTGGGCTAGTCATGTTGGTTGTCCAGCACAACATCTGGGCTAGTCATCTTGGTTGTCCAACACAACATCTGGGCTAGTAAAATGTACCCATACATACACAAACATCTAAACATACACACGCACACACAAAAACCTCAAATACACCAACACCCTTAAGTACACAATTACCCATGCACACATTCATGTATACACATAATCAAACATACACAAACACGGATACACAAACATACATATCACACATATACATGTCACACATACACTGATTCATACATTTCATACACACCTTATCTGATTATAACATGATAATGCAATATGGATTATTAACAACATTTAAGGTCGCATATAATTACTTATAAGTATCAAATGAACAATATTGCCTTAAATGAATAGGAACTATTTGTAATTTTCAGATAAAGTTTAAGATGGTTCCATAAATGAGCAGCAAAATATGCTAAACTGCTTTTTTTTTTTTTCTTTAAAAAAAAATATATTCTACTTTTAGGCAAATGTAATACACTTAATGGCTTGCTGTTCGTAGGACTGGATTTAATTATCTAGAAACAGTTGTTTAGAGTATTTTTAGATAAAATGTTACGAATAAATTTGGCCTTGTTAAAAATTAAACGTATACTTAATAGCAGAAGTTTTAAATGGCTAAAGATATGATTTTTTTTTTCAATATGTTTTCAATCTGAAACCAGGCGTAAAGCGCGATTTTGAAGGGAAATTAGTCTTTTAATATTATATTTGGCGAAATCATCCGAAATTCTGGAACAGTAGTCGACATGTGTTTGGATTTAGTTTTCTTGTAAATTCATCCAGAAAGTGCTGAATTTGGGCTAGCTGATAAAATTTCTTTGTGTGCTATTTTCTTAGTTATAAACAAACATGAGAATTCCAAGTAAAAATATTATCATTGTAAGGCCTCATATTTTGTGTTTCTTTACATGAACAGTACCCATTTTATCAATGTAGATCTCAAGTGGTGGCTTGTTTGTAACATTTGTCTGTTGTTAGCAGCAACAATTGAATTTTTATTTATGTTAATTTGCATTCGATTGCTATTGTTCCGTTATCGAAGATTATCTACCTTTTTCTGTAAAGAGCTTCCTAACATTAGGATTCTCATAACTATTATATATTGTATAGTCGTCGGCAAAAATACCGCATGTTAAAATGAGATGTAATTGAAGGTCGTTGAAATACATTGCAGAAAGTATTGGACATAGAATCCACCCCTGTGGAACGCTCATATTTAGCTGAGTGGATTTTGATAGATGCTTAGGATATTACTTGCTGACTATTTTGACATATTGTGTTTCAAAGTTTTTAATGTATTAATTAGAAAAAAAATGATCTACCCCAGAAGAAGAAGAAGACGAAAAAGAAGAAGAAGAAGAAGAAGAAGAAGAAGAAGAAGAAGAGAAGAAGAAGAAGGAGGGGGGAGGGGAGGAGAGGGGGGGGGAGAAGAAGAGAGGAAGACAAAAAAAAAAAAAAAGAAAAGAAGGATCGGCAGAAACACAAGGAACAACATAGGCAAAAGCAGAAGCAGAAAACAAAGCAAAAAAAAAAAAAAAAAAAAAAAAAAAAAAAGAATCGAATGTTAAGAGCCCGATTAAACATCAGACTTGTCAAAATGGCAATTTTACAGTGTTATGCACCATGTAAAAGGCTGAGGCAGACAAAAATGATCTGTTTTATGACTGCAGAATGACAATGACAAAATTCACAAACACATGATCTGTTAATAGTAATGAGTTATTTTAATGCTAAAGAATATAAAGGCAATTTATATGTAGAGAGAGATGGGAAGAAGGGGGGAGGGGGGGGGTCAACACAGTGAATGAAAACGGAGAAAGAGTCGTTTGCAGTAAACCATTTTTGCACACAAGGAAATTCATAAATTAACTTCTTGGAATTTACCTAATGAGGTGACCAAGAACCATTCTGACCACCTCTGTATCAAGAGAAAATTCAGAACTACTTTAATGGATGCCTGTGCACACAAGGAAGCAGATGTTGGAAGAGATCGCATCCAGTGTATAGGAAAAATAAAACATACTGAAAGCAGCTGTCACAAAAACAAACAGTTGAGAATATTTTGCCAAAGACATTGTAACGGGAAACAAAAAATCATCGAGAGTATCCGTTTGAACTTAAAAACAGGCTCAAGATATCTGAAGACGAGAGAGAGGGCAGTGCATTGAAGGCAAATGGAACAATATAAAGAACACTATCTTAAAGGCGACTATTAGTACTACAGGATGAAAGAAGAGTGGTAGAAAACCATGAGATAAGTGATGACACCTGGCAGTGTACTGGAAGTAGAAAGGCATCAATACTTGCGATTTGTAAATGCAAAAACAACAGAAGATGAAATTAGAGCTCAAGACGATTGTAGGAGAGGAAACAAGCAAGTAAAACGTGCTGAAAGAAAAGATAAAACAATATATGATGATAAACTGGCTGAAGAAGGGGAACAAGCAGTTAAGACTGGAAACTACATTAAAACAACTAACTGAAAACATTCAATCCCGAGGTGGTTCAATCGGCGAGCACAAGTAGTCGGTGACTGTCGTCCTCGTTATTCGGGGAACACAAGTAGTCTGTGTCATCGTCCTCGTTATTCGGGGAACAATTCGGGGAACACAAGTGGTCTGTGATCATCGTCCTCGTTATTCGGGGAATGAGGGAAATGAGGCCATGAAATACTAGGCTGCACAAAAGACATCTCCTTCAACGCCATGCGTTATGTCCTGGGTTGGCAGACGATGACTAGCAGATACAAAGTCGCACAGGTCAAGACTTACATCGGGGTATCGGCAGACTTAACCACCCACTATGCAAATACACGACACAAAAGGAACACGTCTTAAAAGTGGCCGCTCTTGGATGGCAAAAGCTGATGATTTAATCCAGCAGGTATGTGACCTAGACGTAATCAGTCACGTAAAAGAATGGATGAATACACCAGTAGACATGCATGGCATCTCTAAGGCTGTCATCACACTCGGAAAGTACTGCATGAAACATTTTCCTACGGCCGTCGACACAGAAGTAAGGAAAGTAATAGATCAACATTCAGACCCAGAAGATATCGTCATCTACACAGATGGATCGTTGAAGCGCGGATCAAGGTCAATATGGCCATACACAGCGCAAAGAAGGGGGGGGGGGGGGGGACAATAAAGGAGTATAAAGGCGCTTACCAGACAACTACGTTAAGCATTACCATGGAAATAGCCGCTGCTTTTAGAGTAGTAGCATAGGGATCCGAGCAAACCGCCCCACAGGCAGTAATTGTATCAGAACTCCATGATTATGCTTCAGAAGATAGCAACAGGCTGTATGCCCTCTGAATGAGTAGAAGGCATTTGAAAATCGCACTCAACCTCCATCACCTGGATCTACTACCCGTAAAGGGAAATGAGCGAGCGGACCAACCGGCAAGCACTGCACTGAGGGTTTGAGGGAAAAAGCATGGACAAAGCAGATATCGTCAACGCTGTACGGACTGGGATATCGGATAATGAGGAATCTCGGACACTAACATGGTGAAGCACGTCTATGCAGTCTTCGAGGCCGAGATAGGAGACAATATAACCAGCTTCTCATTGGAACAATTAGTAGAAGTACTTTGAAGTGGCTGCTGCATCGGAGGACTGAGCACGCATGTAAATGCCCAATGTGCAGTGACGTCGCTTGTGATGACATAACATAACATCCGGGGAACACAAGTACTCTGTGACCGTCGTCCTAGCTATTTGGGGAGCACAAGTACTCTGTGACCGTCGTCCTAGCTATTTGGGGAACACAAGTACTCTGTGACCGTCGTCCTAGCTATTTGGGGAGCACAAGTACTCTGTGATCGTCGTCCTAGCTATTTGGGGAGCACAAGTACTCTGTGACCGTCGTCCTCGCTATTCAGGGGAGCACAAGTACTCTGTGATCGTCGTCCTCATTATTCGGGGAATTCAAGAAGTCTATGATCACCGTGCTGTGACTGCTCATTAATTATTGGCTATGGACACCACTGCTGCCAACAACATCTGACCAGTGAGTTATTATTCTCAATGTCCCAGTTTGGAATGTTAACACTTTGGGACATTTCCTGTCATTCATTCAACTATAGACCCCCAAACGACATCTAATTCCCATATTAACATATTGTATGAGTGATTAGAAAGTGATTAAAACATTGACAAGGGTGATTTCTTTGTATCGGTAATATAAAACATTGACAGTGTGATTTCCTTGTCTGTGGCACAGGTTATCTACAAGAGGCAGAACCATCATCTTCTCCATTCACCAGCCTCGCTACTCCATCTTCTGCCTCTTCGACCACTTGCTGCTGCTGTGCGGAGGTAGTGTACTCTTCAATGGACCATCTTATGAAGCACTTGACTTCTTCTCATCTCAAGGTACTGGCATTAATTTCCTATAACAAACTACCATCATACTTTTACGAATTTGTTGTACGCAAAGCACAGCCAATAATTTACCACGTTCAAGGTACTTTCAACTATTTCTAAAACATATATATGGTCTGTTTATGACAAAAAATACTTTTTATTTACCATTATTGATTTATTGTAAATAAGGTACTGCTATGCTTTTATTAAACACAAAGGGCTGTCACAAATTTATTACAAACCCCACCCGGCCACGCGTTGCTGTGGCTATTTAGCAAAATAGAAAAGAAAGAAAACAGAAAGCGCACTTGACTAAGTAAAAAAAAAGTAAGTAAGGAAAGGACCCTTTTCCACGCCTTCTAGGCGTATATGGCATTTAGGGCTAGACCTATATTTTTATAGACCAATCGGCACAAGATGGGTGATGTGGTCAGCATCACGCCGGCCGCCTTTACTTACCCGGGACTGCACCCTCTACCCACTCAAAGCTGGGTCGACCTGGAAGCCAAGGTCATTTTTTAAAAAAGTCCGGCTCCGCCAGGGACGAACCCACGACCTTCCGATCCGCGACGAGCTTTTAGCCGCTCGGCCGCGGCGACTAAACAGGTGTCTACAACACGTGCTGTTCCCAAGCGGTCACCCATCTAAGTACTAAACACGCCCGAGCTGGGTTAACGCATTAGCTTTCATCACTACAACACTTGACTAATATGGTTTATTTCACAATCAATGTCTGCATAGATAGAAGAACGCTGTTCTTCACAGGTCTGCGCAAAACACGCAACAAATAATTATGTCATTATATTAGTGTTCGTGTCAAGTGTATTATAAAGACCTAAAAAAATGTGTTGTTTATCACATGCTAAAGCTTTTTATTTTTTTTAGATCATCAAGGTGAAGTTTGCTACTGGACTTCTGAAAAAAAAAAAAAAAATTACATGGGCAGCATTTAAACAAAAAATAAGTAGCTTTAGGAAAATACAAAAAGGTCACCCAAAAAAATGGTAAATTCATGTTTTAAAATCTGTCAGATAACAGTTTCTGTCCTCATCGCCCCTTCCCACCCTCCTGTCAAATGTAGAATGAACTTTAACTTTACAAATTGTAGTACAGAATAGTCTTCTTTTTCTTCTTCAGCATTGTTGAGTTTACAGAATATTCACATTCATTTATCTCTCTCTTTTGCTTCTTCTTCAGCATTCCAAGCCCTTGAGTTTACTGCTGCTAATTTCATTCACATTCATTTATCTCTCTCTGGTTGGCCTTCTTCTTCAGCATTCCAAGCCCTTGAGTTCACTGCTGCTAATTTCATTCACATTCATTTATCTCTCTCTGGTTGGCCTTCTTCTTCAGCATTCCAAGCCCTTGAGTTCACTGCTGTTGATTTCATTCACATTCATTTATCTCTCTGGTTGGCCTTCTATTTCCATTTGGTGACACCAATTGTTTGCAGGTCTGTCTGGACATTATTTCTCTATCGTCTTCTTGGTCTGCCTTATGGACTACGACCATTCCTCTCTCTTGTGTATAGTTTTTACTTCTCTGTCATCTGACATTCTTTTAAAATGTCCCAACCATTTCAGCCTATTAGCTCTCACGATGCCAGTGATCAATGGTGATTTAAACAGATTATTAAAATCTTTGTGGCTTCTCACTCTCCCTTGCCTTTTCTATATATTCAATAAGCAAATCATTGTCCCTATGATGAAATAATTGTTTATCTCATACAGTTTCCTGCAGAATAATTCTCATAACCATGGGCGCCAATGGGATTATTAACGAAATAATACGAGCAGAATTAAAATCCGCGTGGTGCTGCAACGAAACACAAATGGGTGTGATGTTTGCTGGAGTTATGTAGTTTTTGCTTATTGCGACACTTTTATATAACAGCACGCGTGTATTCGAATACAACATTGTCTCAACATTTGAAAGCAATGGGTGAAGAACTTTCAGAGATAAGCTGTAACAAACAACGGAACTTTACATGCTTACTTATATGGATGAGGTAATTTTATTCATAATTTTATTTTATTATACATTTATAACAGATGAATCTCTGTTATATATTTATTACGGATACATTATTGTTATAAAGTACAGTGAGTAATTTACCATGCACAATATACTGTCAGGAATCTACTTCATTCGGATGTACTTTTATTAATTTGTAATGCCCATAAAACTTTCAGCCATAAGGAACATGCACACTCACAATTCTGACATTCTGTATCTTTGTAACGCAATAAGTGAAATGACTCCAATTTAGCACAAGAATACCCTGAGGTTTCACTAATCAATGTACATATTTATTTTTATCTGGGTTACGATAATTTTAGGCTTACGGCCTTTTCTGTGACTTGGCGTCTCCTGGGCATTGATGCTATCACATGTCTGATGTGGGATGGATGACCACTCTTCCTGGAGTGCCTGGAACAGATCACGAACATTGGCTGGAGCAACGTCTCGACAACATACATGTCTTTGCAACTGATCCAAGGGAAGAAGAGGAAAACAAACAGAAGCGAAAAAGAGAAAAACCAACAGAAGGAAACAAGAGAATAGCAAACCATACAGAGGAAGAGGAAAGCAAACAGAAGGATAAAGGGAAAAACAAACAGAAGGAAAAAGAGAAAAACAAACAGAAGGAAAAAGAGAAAAACAAACAGAAGGAAAAAGAGAAAAACAGACAGAAGGAAAAAGAGAAAAACAAACAGAAGGAAAAAGAGAAAAACAAACAGAAGGAAAAAGAGAAAAACAAACAGAAGGAAAAAGAGAAAAACAAACAGAATGAAAAAGAGAAAAACAAACAGAAGGAAGAAGAGAAAAACAAACAGAAGGAAAAAGAGAAAAACAAACAGAAGGAAAAAGAGAAAAACAAACAGAAGGAAAAAGAGAAAAACAAACAGAAGGAAAAAGAGAAAAACAAACAGAAGGAAGAAGAGAAAAACAGACAGAAGGAAAAAGAGAAAAACAAACAGAAGGAAAAAGAGAAAAACAAACAGAAGGAAAAAGAAAAAAACAAACAGAAGGAAAAAGAGAAAAACAAACAGAAGGAAAAAGAGAAAAACAAACAGAAGGAAAAAGAGAAAAACAAACAGAAGGAAAAAGAGAAAAACAAAGAGAAGGAAAAAGAGAAAAACAAACAGAAGGAAAAAGAGAAAAACAAACAGAAGGAAAAAGAGAAAAACAAACAGAAGGAAAAAGAGAAAAACAAACAGAAGGAAAAAGAGAAAAACAAACAGAAGGAAAAAGAGAAAAACAAACAGAAGGAAAAAGAGAAAAACAAACAGAAGGAAAAAGAGAAAAACAAACAGAAGGGAGGAAGAGGAAAACCAAGCAAAGGAAATATATGCCACGGCAGAGGACGTCAGACAGTTGCTACATGTTTCAGTTGGCTGTACTAATTACTTCTCTTTAACGGTAACATCTACTGCTAGGACTCTCTTTTGTATCACTACTAGACTTCCAACTTCTGTCAATTCTCTATCTCTCTTATGTCACTACCAAACTTCTGACATATGTCAATTCCATGTCTCTGTTGTATTACTGTCAGACTTCCGACATCTGTCAATTCTATGTCTCTGTTGTATCACTGTCAGACTTCCGACATCTGTCAATTCTATGTCTCTGTTGTATCACTGTCAGACTTCCGACATCTGTCAATTCTATGTCTCTGTTGTATCACTGTCAGATTTCCGACATCTGCCAATTCCGTGTCTCTGTTGTATCACTGTCAGACTTCCGACATCTGCCAATTATGTGTCCCTGTTGCATCACTGTCAGATTTCCTCCATCTTTACAGATTGTTGCCTAACTCTCCCGTCTCTGTTGTATCACTGGCAGGCTTCCGGTGCGAGGTACACAACAACCCACCAGATTTCTTCCTTGACGTCATCAATGGACACGAGAAGCCCATTACTGACGGTCTAGAGACAGAAACAGCAGAGGAGGCTAAGGACGAGGGTAAGAGTCTGAATACAGTGGTGACACTGATGCTGGGATCAGGAGTTTAGAGGTCTCTGTTCAACAATGTGATGTTGCTATCAAATAGAATCATTGACCTCCCAAAGCCTATGTGATGTCCTTATAAGTATTTTCAAAAAAAAAAAAAAAAAAAAAAAAGTAAACAAACATCTAGTTTTCATTTTGCCTTATTTACACAATATGAAAAATCAGAAGCCGATTGAAAACAGTCAGCAGGCTTACAGTTAACTGAGTTAGGGCAACGTTTAAAAACATCAAACTGCACGCGTATCATAGGCAGTTAGCTCTCAGGTTGTCACCAATAGCATAATTCTCCCGCGAATTGCGGATTTTTCATTGAGTTGGGAATAGGCTACCAAAAATAATATCTACACCTCGCTGCACATGTGCACTGAATTCCAAACAATATCCAAACGTCTGTCAGTTACAGTATATTCTATTTGTCAGCAGTACAGAAAATATTAGAGCAACAAAGATCTAGGTCCTTATGTAGGTGGTGTTTCTTGTCAGTCTGTGAGCCTTATCTGTGTCTAGGACTCCATTTAGGGGGTGTTTCTTGTCCGTCTGAGCCCTAGCTCTGTCTAGGACTCCAGGTAAATGGTGTTTCTTGTCAGTCTGTGAGCCTTAGCTCTGTCTAGGACTCCATGTAGGTGGTTTTTCTTGTCAGTCTGTGAGCCTTAGCTCTGTCTAGGACTCCAGGTAGGTGGTGTTTCTTGTCAGTTTGCCTTAGCTCTGTCTAGGACTCCAGGTAAATGGTGTTTCTTGTCAGTCTGAGCCCTAGCTCTGTCTAGGACTCCAGGTGGGTGGTGTTTCTTGTCAGTGAGCCCTAGCTCTGTCTAGGACTCCAGGTAGGTGGTGTTTCTTGTCAGTCTGTGAGCCTTAGCTCTGTCTGGGGCTCTGTGGTGTTTCTGTCTTGTCTTAGCTCTGTCCGGGGCTTCATGTAGGTGGTGTTTCTTGTCAGTCAGTGAGCCTCTGTCTAGCTCCAGGTAGGTATCTTGTGAGCCTAGCTCTGTCTGGGGCTTCATGTAGGTGGTGTTTCTTGTCAGTCTGTGAGCGTTAGCTCTGTCTGGGGCTTCATGTAGGTGGTGTTTCTTGTCAGTCTGTGAGCCTTAGCTCTGTCTGGGGCTTCATGTAGGTGGTGTTTCTTGTCAGTCTGTGAGCCTTAGCTCTGTCTGGGGCTTCATGTAGGTGGTGTTTCTTGTCAGTCTGTGAGCCTTAGCTCTGTCTGGGGCTTCATGTAGGTGGTGTTTCTTGTCAGTCTGTGAGCCTTAGCTCTGTCAGTCTGTGGACTCTGTCTGGTAGGTGGTGTTTCTTGTCAGTCTGTGAGCGTTAGCTCTGTCTGGGGCTTCATGTAGGTGCTTCAGTCTGTGAGCGTAGGTCTGGGGCTTCATGTAGGTGGTGTTTCTTGTCAGTCTGTGAGCCTTAGCTCTGTCTGGGGCTTCATGTAGGGCAACGACTAAAAATACAGCAGCTGTGGTGACAAAGATGAAATAGTAGATGGGGTATTGAATACAGGGTTCTAGTTAGACCCCTATTTCCACTATGGTTACACATACTGCAGCAGTGAAGAAAAGGAGAGGTAGAGGACGGGTGAAAAAGACTTTCTTTTGCTATCCCAGACAATTCAATATAGTTTGAGTGAGTGTGTGTGTGTGTGTGTGTGTGTGTGTGTGTGTGTATATACACACACATCTGTATATATATCTGTGTTTATATATGTCTATGTATATATTATATATATGTGTGTGTGAGCGCGCGCGAGCATGCATGCTTGCCGATAAGCGTGCGTATGACAAGAGTATGGGTGTGTTTGTATATACACACACACACACACACATATATATATATATATATATATATATATATATATATATATATATATATATATATATATGCGTGCAGGTTTTGTATGTGTTTTTCACTTCTAATTTGGTTATTAATGTCCATACTTATGTTTAATTGTAGTAATAATGTGAGATGACATTTAAAAAAAAAAAACAATACGTTGGGTTATGCTACACCAGTAGCAGACTATGCATTCTCGGTGGGAGTGGGCTGTCCAAAGCCCATGCTAAACGTGCTTCCTTCCTGCCAAAGAACTGCATGGCTGTTGGGTGAACTGTCGCTAACGAAGGCAGTCAGTTCGTTGTAGGGGACTGATGGATGTAATGTCTATGGTCCCCCTCCCTAGAATGAGGCAATACTGGGGTGGTCATTTATTAACCATCAAATAGGCGACACACAGTACAGTTTCGGAAAAGGGTTCAGTAGAGGATCGTTAGCCGATAAAGTACATGTGTGGTAGCCAGCACCGCGTGTCTATCGTAGATAACTGAACTAGGTCTCTTAGTCCATTGGTAGCACTTATGGAATTAACATCTGCAGTCGAAAGTCGATCAAACTGTATTATTTGAAACTGAGCCCGCGGGAGTACAGTAGACAGCGGCTATAAATACAGATGATCTATCTAGGCAGGGTGGTTTAAAACCGCTGTAAGTGAGAGGGATACTTAGAAAGTTGAGCTCTTTGAATCGGCCTGACAAGGAAATTGTACACTCTAATAAACCAAACACAATTATATTATGTTAGAGTCTGACTCACTATTACACTAATATTTATTTACGTAACATGCACGAATATGTTATGTCAAATAAAGTTAAGGGCGTTTAGGAGCCAAGGCCATTTTTGAAAAAGTAAAACCACGAGCCTCGGATCCGCAACTGAACGTCTAGTTGATACGCCACGCAGGCTCCAGTATTACCTTCTTCTGTTCTTATTGTAAAGAATTAGAGTTAATCACCTGTTACCTTATCGCTTGATTATTATTCAGAATTAGAGGTAATCACCTGCAATCTTATCGCTTCATTATTTTTCGAAATTGCCATTTAATTTGATCTAATAGTGTACTACAGACTTTGCTTACGAAGTCATCAGGGGACTTAGCGATATTTCGCGGCACGTGATGTTGGTTATATGTGCTAGATAATGAATAGACATGCTCCGGTTAATGATGGCGGGGATAAAAAGGTGCCTGCAGGCGAGATTCTTACGGGCTCAAAATAAAGTGACTGGAATTGATCTCATCACACCCACCTAGCTTTCTTTTCTTAACTTCTCTAGAAGTGAAATGAATGAGTGAGATTCAACTCCGCCAGGACATCCACCAAGCGATAAACACCCGGCCTTAGGACGTAGTTGAAACTGATTTGTCTGGGCTAGTGGTGGGGGGAGATTGGTTAAATGGCTAAGGGCAGGTGACCTGACATGTTATCAGGAAACTGCAGTTCCAACTTCCTTGCAAACGATTCACCCCATAGTTGCTAAGGTTCCTGTGCCAACAAAGACCAGACAGAATACCCATCAATGACAGTTACACCACAAGGGATAGATTTCATTGGAAGTGAAAAGATTACAAGATAAGGGATATATTACACTACAAGTGAATAGATTACACGACAAGGGATAGATTACACCGCAAGTAAATAGATTACACGACATTATATGAAAATTATAAGAGTATCATTGTTGGTAAATTCTCTCATTACTTAGAAATGGTGACAACTTTTTAACATAAATTATGAGCGAAAATATCCAATGGATATTATTGATTACTAATTGAGATACAGGCAAATCGCGTACATGGTACCAACTCATTTCAAAGATGCAGTTTATCTGAAGCGAGCCAAGTTGAAAAAAAAAAAAAATAAAGCATGTTATCATGAGTAGAGCTTTTGAGTGCAGCTATACAGTCTCCCAAAATTACATAAACCCGGAGTGCTACTGAGTCCCATCATATCCATGGTCAATTCAGTTCAGCATCATATGGCTAAATGGCTAGCGGATATGCTAAAAGCAGTCCGACAATCGTTTGAGCCAAATATACTTAGCGACACATTTGAACTGGTAGAGTTACTAAAGATGTTGAATTTAAACAATGCATCAATGGATATAGTCTCCCTTTTTACTAATTTACCCTTGAAAGAAACTGTTAAAAGCATTCGGGACCATATAACAAAGAAGAATCTAAGTTGGATCTGTCTGGTTCAAAACTAGAGACACTGTTGTTATGCACATCCAACATCAAGTTCAATTTCCTCAAGCAGTCCTACCGCCAGATTGACGGAGTGGCCATTGGAAGCCCGCTGGGTCCTATCCTGGCAGACATCTTTATGACACACTAAGAGGGAACAAATCTCTGAACATTGATAAATTGATGTGTTACAAACGTTTTGTAGATGATATTCTTATTGCTGCCACTGATAAACAACATGCAGAATTAGTACACACCCAGATAAACCGGGCACACAAAAACCAGAATTAGTACACACCCAGATAAACCGGGCACACAAAAACCAGAATTAGTACACACCCAGATATTAGGGCACACCCAGATAACACCGGGCACACAAAAACATTAGTACTAAACCGGGCACACAAAAACCAGAATTAGTACACACCCAGATAAACCGGGCACACAAAAACCAGAATTAGTACACACCCAGATAACACAAAAACATCTTACTGTTATAATATAATGATCAGACCTGAAGGGAAGGGATATGGTACCATTCACAGATCAATATATGGGAAAAATACTTGGACGGACCAGTACATAAATTGTAATAGTTTTGCACCCATCCAGCAAAAGAAAGTTGGATAGAAAGCAGATATGCAGAAATAGAAGATTGTAAAAAAGTTGAACAATAGTAAAAGATCTTTTAGCATTATTTCAAACATCAATCGAGAGAAAAAGTTAAGAAGTAACACCACCCAAGACACAGAAGTTAAACTACTCACAGTAAGTAATGATCTCCTATATAGATGGTCTGAATACTCTTCGAGTCTGTATAACAAACAAACAAATAGCAGCACCGACCACCTTGACAACAGCCAAGCACAGAAGGATGACAGCTTGCCCATACTCCAGGATGAAGTAGAATTGGCCATCAGAACTACACACACACACACACACACACACAAATGAAAGCTGGGGGGATTGAAAATATCCCAGCTGAGATGCTAAAGGCGGTGGGAGAGGACGTATCAACATCCTCACTGAAATCAGTAAAAAAATTTGCGAGACTTGTGAATGGCCATCTCTTTGGAGCAAATCACTCATTATTACAATCCCAAAAAGGGGAAATTTACAACAAATTCTTAAAAAATTCTTTCCTCATATGTTCACTGACATTCCAAGATTCGATACTATACAGCTTAACTAGCGCTATGTAACATTTTAGCACCCTCTTTCTGATATTAAATGAGAGCAATTTATTGCATAAGATATTTTTTTTATTTTCTGAAATGCAGCTTTCGCTTGAACTATTCTGCTTCTAATCTCTGTCATACATTTTCCATCTGATGATTTGATTGTTCCCAAATATTTGAATTTATTGATTTGCTAAAGTCTTTTTCGTTCAACTAAGATATCACAACATGGAGTTATCTTCTTCTTTGATATAACCATTACTTCCGTTTTCTTAATATTCAATGAAAGTCCTTTCTTAGCACTTTCCATCCCCACAATATCCAACAGTTGTTTTAAATCAGTTGCATTTTCAGCTATCAAAACTGTATCGTCTGCCCCGACGCAAATTGTTTGTTTTTTTATCCTCCAACTCTTATTCTTGCATTCTCTTTATTTTCCCTCAAAATTATTTCATTTTAAAGAGAGAAAAGATCTGGGGATAAGGCACATCCCCGACTTACTCCCTGCTTTATCTGTTCAAAAGTACCCAATCTGTTTCCGGCTTTAATTGCTGCTACTTGGATCCAGTAAATGTTTTTAATTATTCCGAGATCTTTCCCGTCTACACTAAGGTCTTCCAACATTTTTATCATCTTTTAATGTTTAACTTTGTCATATGCTTGGGTGTAATCTGTAAAGCACAAACAAAAGTCCTTTTGTGTGTCTATTGATTTTCCTATCAGTGTTCGTAATATGTATATTGCATTACTTGTCCCTTTACCTTGCCATAAATCCATACTGCTCTTCACTCATTTTCATTCTTCCGTTTTTTTTACTCATTATAATTCTAAGTAGTAATTTGGTGACATGATTTATTAAGTTAAATGAATACAATTCTTCACACTCATTTGCTCCTGATCTTTTGGTAAAGCAATAAATACAGATTTCCTCACATCACTTGGAATGTACCCATTGTTATAAATATAATTCATCAGTTTAGTGTGTTTACTGGTAGAGGAAGCACTGTTAAATATATATTTAATATAACGCATATTATCTGAACAATACCTCCAACACCAAAAACATCTATACAATGTGTTCATTGATTTTAAAAAGGCCTTTGATAGATTAAGACATGTACCACTCTGGGAGACTATGAAAAAGTACAATATGGGTAACACGCTCATACTTACTATAGAACATCTCTATGCCAAGGCCAACAGTGCTGTCACACTGAGCAGACACAAGGAGGCAGTATCCCCAACAACAGCAGGAGTCCGACAGGGCTGCCTCTTCTCTCCAACACTGATTAGCATCTCTTTTAGAAAGAATTATGATTGATACCCTAGAACAAAATCATGGAACAGTTAGTATCGGAGGTCGAACTATAACAAACTTAAGGTCTGCAATGACATCGATGGGATGGCCTGAGAATATTAAGTACTAGTGGAGCTTGTAAATCGAACTCGATGAAAGTATGGCATGCAAATAAACGCAGGAAAAAAAAATTAATAATTTAGCTAGCAGAATTTCACCAATTTACGTTAAAGGTCAAATATTTAGATCCATTTTAAGTGACATGGGGTCAAGACCAGACAGGTTTGCCCAGACAGCATCAGTCCTTGCCTAGCAGCCAACATTATGGAGATCCAAAAATATTTCATGCAAAACTAAGATTCGATAGCTCAGAGCAATATCTGTGAAACAACCAGTGTCGACGTAGGCCAGATCAAACTTATCTACCAATTCAAATGTAGCTGTCAAGCTGCTTGTGTGAGCAGAACTGATGGACTCCCGGAGAAACCAGTTGCTGAGCACATTGCAGTATGGGCGGAAAAGTTATGCAAAATAATATTCAAAATGAGAATACTGGCCGCAAAGATCACCCGTCCGCAATAGCACGGCATCTTCTAAAATCTGGACACGTTTTAACTAACAAAACATAACATTGTTACTGTAGTATGCGCCTGACGAAATATAGCAGAATATGCCAGGCAATAAATTGTGCAATTTATTGTTTGTGTCATCTTTGTTCAAATTCGCAACGGGAAAACATTGCTTTGATTAAATGATAAGTGATAGATTTTATAACAAGTGATAGATTAAATTTGTTTTCCCTTTTTGGTTATACTTCCAGCAGGTTCAGACAGCCAAGAAAGTAAACTAATCCAAGGATTCAGACAATCCTACTGGAACAGAAGGTAATCAGATCAAGGAATGGTTTTAGACAAGTTAACACTTTGGAATTGTTAGTTTGGATATCAGCAAGTGTTGGTAAAATCACATTCCCATATGTAAATATATCGTTTGAATTTATAGTGTAGGTAACATCACATCTTCTCATGTGGGTAACTTTGCATGCCCACATTTTCTGTCAGAGGATATGAAGTTGTATGTGGTTTGAACCTAAAATGTACATAACATTACATCCTCTCGTGAGGGTAACTTTACATGCCCACATGTGGGTATGTGGTTTGAGTATCTACAATGTAGGTAACATCGCATCCTTCCGTGTGGGTAACTTTGCATGTACACATGTGGGTATGCCGTTTGAATCTGTAATGTAGGTTATATAACATCTAATAGTGTAGATAACTTTGTATGCCCACACGTGTGAATATGTGTTAAATCTATATTGTAGGTAACAGAACGTTCTCTCATGTAGGTAAATGTGTATGGTCAAATGTGGGTGTGTGGTTTGTAACTATTGTATAGGTAACATAACATCGTCTCCTGTAGGTAACTTTGAGTGTGCACATGTATGTATATGGTTTGAATCTGTTAATTTAGCTAACTTCCTTGTCGACTCCTCTTGTTGTCTTAATCGGTCTCGGATAGATGTTGTATCTTTCTGTCATGAGTATATGCCCGGGAAAAAAAGACAAAATTTCAATGAGCCGGTGCATTTATACCAACTGACACCGTAATTAAGTCGCCCAAACATAAGTATGATCGCCAAGAAACAAATTAAAAACAGTAAAGTTGATACCAACACTGTGCTATCATGTCGGACTTGGACATTATCAAAGGCTATCCTACGCAACATCAACACCCGTAAAATTATATGCTCGATTAAAGTCATCAACTTAACCACCTGAGACAAAGTTAGAAATTATATTATCAGACATATTTTAGAAACAGCATCATTCAGCACGTTCATCGAGGGGAAAAAAGATCAAAATGTTTGGTCATCTAGCAATAATGCATTAAGAGCAACTGCCAGCGCAGCACTACACATGAAAAGATCTGAAGTGAAAATAAGAGGCAGCTCTAGGAAAACACGACAAGACATTAAAAAGCGTATACATGGACACAGAATGACAATAGCCATTATTGCTCATCAAGCAATGAATCGCAAACTGCACCTCTCCACGAGGCTAACGGCAGAAGTTGAAATTGCTGATGATGATTCGTAATGGTAATATTGTCATAGGAATATAATATGCTTCAGTGATAAAATCGAATTTCAGTATGGAAGATGAATGTTTGTAGGACGGGCATTTATGCCCAGTTTGTGACCGGTTGAGAATAATTTTCGGTCGTTTGTTGTTCTTCCTACCTGTTTATACGCCCGACTCTCTAGCGTAGTTGGCTAAACCGGATTGCGCGGTGAATGGGTGACGAACTCCTTGTGGTCCGGGTTCATTCCCGGGGGTAGGCAGAAAAGCCACTTTTCTCCCAGATTTAGGGTATTTACAAAGGAATCAATGCCGAAAGTTTCGATATCCAAAATACCGAGCCTAAGGGTTAACAACTCATGGCTTCTGGATACTAAAACAAACAAACCTGTTTATACAGATGAGATATTTAGGCTGCTTACGTGTACAAGAAGTGAACTATCAAACACAAGCGAACGTGTACAAAAAAGTGAAATAACAAAAAGGATAAAAAATGTACAAGAAGTGAACTATCAAACATGAGCGTTTGGGTACAAGAAGTGATCTTTTAAACACGAGCAAATGTGTAAAAGAAGTGAACCATCAAACATAAGGGAATGTTTACAAGTAGTGAACTATTAATCATGAGTACAAGAAGTAAACAATGGATCATGAGCGAATATGTACAAGAAGTGAAATATCAAGCATGAACAAATGTTCAGTAAATCATATTTACAACTATTTCTTACTCAGAATACAAGAAGAAGCAGCAGCCATCATCGCAAAGTTCGAATCCTCGGGCTTGAAAGATGGTCAACGCCACGAGGTTAGCTACGCCACCTCATTCCTGCGGCAGGTTAGTTCTACTGTTATGCGACAGGCTAGTTTTTCTATCATTGATTACATTCTTGCGGCAGGTTAGTTTTACTATCAGTGGCTACATTTATGCGACCGGCTAGTTTTTCTATCATTGATTACATTCCTGCAGCAGGTTATTTTTACTATCAGTGGCTACATTTATGCGACAGGCTAGTTTTCCTTTCATTGATTACATTCCTGCAGCAGGTTAGTTTTACTATCAGTGGCTACATTTATGCGACCGGCTAGTTTTTTTATCATTGATTACATTCCTGCGGCAGGTTAGTTTTACTGTCAGTGACTACTGTTATACGACTGGCTAGTTTTTCTTTCATTGATTACCTTCCTGCGGCAGGTTAGTTTTACTATCAGTGCAATAAATGGGGTTGTCTAGGTGGTGTTCATGTGTGTGTAGTGGATGTTCTTCTCACACACTCGACGTTACATAACTGGTACAAGCCGACACAAAGTTAGCCATACAAGCATCGATTTATTGACATGTTATAATTTAAAGCGATGTCCAGTCGTTGTCATAATACACAGCTCTCGCACACCAATTCACGCAGCCTTCAACAAACAGGTTCTTCATGCATTCACTGACCAGAGTAGGCTCCAATAAATCAGGTTCAGTTTCTTGCCATTATACAGACTGGCTTGGTCGATCTTGGCTTCACACTTTGTCGTCAGGGTCTCCTTTCGCAACAAACAGTATTACGTTGACATTCTTACACTCAGTCGCACATCCTCTCGCTCCAACAGGTCGACACAAACTAAACTTGATCAGAATCAAGTCTGACTTATACCACGGGTTAGTTTACGTGGCAACACGTGGTGGTCCTTTACTTTCACGTGACCACCTTTGGCCGTGATAACTAGTGGTCATCACCTATCTCAAGATCCTCGTTTGATCCGAGTATCTGGAATATCTCGGTGTTTTGGGTTAGCTTTGGGCCTTCCCCCCAACCTTCCTAATCTGGATGAAAATATTCCCCATTACAATCAGTGACTACTGTTATGCGACTGGCTAGTTTTCCTATAATTGATTACATTCCTGCGGCAGGTTAGTTTTACTACCAGTGACTATGCGACTGGCTAGTTTTCCTATCATTGATTACATTCCTGCGGCAGGTTAGTTTTACTATCAGTGACTACTGTTATGCGACAGGCTAGTTTTCCTTTCATTGATTGCATTTCTGCGGCAGGTTAGTTTTAGTTTTACTATCAGTGACTACTGTTATGCGACAGGCTAGTTTTCATTTCATTGATTACATTCCTGCGGCAGGGTAGTTTTACTATCAGTGACTACTGTTATGCGACAGGCCAGTTTTCCTTTCAATGATTACATTCCTGCGGCAGGTTAGTTTTACTATCAGTGACTACTGTTATGCGAATGGCTAGTTTTCCGATCACTGATTACATTCCTGCGGCAGGTTAGTTTTACTATCAGTGACTACTGTTATGCGACTGGCTAGTTTTCCTATCATTGATTACATTTCTGCGGCAGGTTAGTTTTACTTTACTATCAGTGACTACTCTTATGCGACTGGCTTGTTTTCCTTTCATTGATTACATTCCTGCGGCAGGTTAGTTTTGCTATCAGTGACTACTGTTATGCGATTGGCTAGTTTTTCTATCATTGATTACATTCCTGCGGCAGGTTAGTTTTACTATCAGTGACTATGCGACTGGCTAGTTTGGCTATCATTGATTACATTCCTGCGGCAGGTTAGTATCCCTATCGATTATCACATTCCGGGGCAAGTTAGTTTCCCTATCATCGAATACATTCATGTGACAGGATAGTTTAACTATAATTATTATATTCCTGTGACAGGATAGTTTCCCTATCATTGATTACATTCATGTGACAGGATAGTTTCCTTATCATTGATTACATTCCTGTGACAGTTTCCCTATCATTGATTACATTCCTCCAGCAGGTTAGTTTCATCATCATTTGTGACTTCATTGATGGGGCGACCCGTTTGCTATGAAGCTGAAACTAAGACTACCAGACTACCAGACTACCAGACTAATTGATGCGGCAGATTAGTTTCAAAAAGTTTCACTATCAAAACTGATGATGTTTCTTTACTAGGGTTGTTTCACAAGCTAGTTTCGTGCTCCGTGTTTCCTCAATCGGCATCGACTATACAAATTCCCTTGCATATTTTACTTTGTCCGCCTCACTATAGATCTATCGCAGGCATTCATTACTTAGTTTTCATTCACTCCTTCCTTTAGTACCAATAGTTTAGCCCTTCAAATCTCTCACCGGGGAAATTCTAGGTCACAAACGCCAGATTATGGATAATCTTAAACGCGATAATTCGACGCGATGATCCAACACGATGATCCAACACGATGATCCAACGCGATGATCCAACACGATGATCCAACACGATGATCCAACGCGATGATCCAACGCGATGATCCAACACGATGATCCAACACGATGATCCAACGCGATGATCCAACGCGATGATCCAACACGATGATCCAACACGATGATCCAACGCGATGATCCAACACGATGAGGTTGTGTGAGTCCACAGATTAACTATTGTATAACCCCCTGGCCAACGCTTAACATGCGATTTAGGTTTAAACAGCGGATCAGCACATCATGGCACAAGGGCAGTAACCTTCGTTCTACTTGTACCAAGTCTGAGTCAGACGAATCTCAGCGCAGTGCAGGAATTCAGTAGCACTTTCAAGGATCCTGAAATACTTTAGGTAGATTTTTAACTCCAAATGTTGTCAGGGCAGCGCTGTTAGTCTACTCTTTTCGATTTCCAACTGCCAATGAGTGTTTTACGTGTGTAACACTACACACGGGCGTCCGATCCTACTATTTCCACGGCCTGCACTCGGGACCTTCTGCACTGTCCGCCTCGAGACCACACAGCCCCCCCCCCCCACAGCAGTAAAACGTTAAAGGCAAAATAAACTACTTGATTTTGTTTTGTTAGTTTCAACTCTATTGTAATAATGTCTGGCTCTGTTCGCAGGTGTTTTATGTTGGCGAGAGGTCCCTGAAAGACACCATCAGAAACCCACAGACCAGTGTTCTTACGGTAAAATCACATAAGCACCTGAAATAACATGAAGTTCACACATTGTTGGCATACCACACAAGTTAATATAGCTCCACATATTTTTTATCATATCACACAAGTTAATGTAGCTCTATACATTGTTGTCATACCACACAAGTTAATGTAGCTCCACACATTGTCTTCATACCACACAAGTTAATGTAGCTCTATACATTGTTGTCATACCACACAAGTTAATGTAGCTTTATACATTGTCGTCATACCACACAAGTTAATATAGCTCTATACATTGTCGTCATACCACACAAGTTAATATAGCTCTATACATTGTCGTCATACCACACAAGTTAATATAGCTTTATACATTGTCGTCATACCACACAAGTTAATATAGCTCTATACATTGTTGTCATACCACACAAGTTAATATAGCTTTATACATTGTCGTCATACCACACAAGTTAATATAGCTCTATACATTGTTGTCATACCACACAAGTTAATGTAGCTCCACACATTGTCTTCATACACCACAAGTTAATATAGCTCTATACATTGTTGTCATACCACACAAGTTAATATAGCTCTATACATTGTCGTCATACCACACAAGTTAATATAGCTCTATACATTGTTGTCATACCACACAAGTTACTGTAGCTCCACACATTGTCTTCATACCACACAAGTTAATGTAGCTCTATACATTGTTGTCATACCACACAAGTTACTGTAGCTCCACACATTGTAGTAATACCACACACGTTTATGTAGCTCCAAGTTAATGTAATTCCACACATTATCCTTATACCATACAAGTTAATGTAGCTCCACACGTTGTTATTATATCACACAAGTTAATGTAACTCCACAAATTGTTGTAATACCACACACGTTTATGTAGCTCCAAGTTAATATAACTCCACACATTGTCCTTATACCAGACAAGTTAATGTAGCTCCACACATTGTAGTAATACCACACACGTTTATGTAGCTCTAAGTTAATATAACTCCACACATTGTCCTTATACCAGACAAGTTAATATAACTCCACACATTGTCCTTATACCAGACAAGTTAATGTAACTCCACACGTTGTTATTATATCACACCAGTTAATGTAGCTTCACACATTGTCCTTATACCAGACACGTTAATGTAACTCCACACATTGTCCTTATACCACACAAGTTAATGTAGCTCCACACGTTGTTATTATATCACACAAGTTAATGTGGCTTCACATGTTTGTGTCCAACGACACATTTCCACATAGCTCCACACATTGGTGCCGTACCACACAGGTTAATGTAACTTCACACATTGCAGTCATACCACACAACTTAATGCAGCCCCAAACATTGGTGTGTAACCACAACTGAATGCCTGAAACCTTACCTAGCAGCTTGACAGGGCATTTTCTTCACCAAGTACCACCATTAGGCTAGGCTACATCACTGGATTCTCGTAACCGATGGATGGGTAAGACAAACACATCAAGCAAAGAACACCACCTGACCTGGCTACATCACTGGGTTCCCATGCAAGCGATGGGTGAGCCACAGATGGCTTGAACAAACATACCAAGCCCTGAGTAAACCAACAGACGCTTGCACAGTTTCGTGGTATTGAGAGAGTAAATATATTTACAACTGCAGTTTTGTTTTAATAGAGTTGTTTAGAGGATTATATAATTTGTATGATTTTGTAAACGCATTCTTTTTTTTTTTCCCTTTTATTAACAATCAATGACAAAATATTTTCATTATCCACATATTCAATGGAAGTATATATATTTTACAGTTTCTGAGATTTCCTACTATGAGATTTACAACAGTAGAGGCCTCAAAGCTTTATACAGTTTAGGGCCTCATCAACTGTCATTTCGGCGCTGTCTACAATGGAAGCCCCTAAGAGGAAGGGCAAAATGGATGGAGCACTGGGTAGTGAATTCATGCACAACAAGTTTTATATAGTCACTATGTGAATAAGTGAACAATATGGAAACAAATAGATTTGCACGGCTAGCGGGAGAGTGAAACAGACTGGACTGACCAGAGATCTAGAGGGGGGGGGGGGAGGGGAGGGGGGGGGGGGGGGGGGGGGCACTCTACACGTAGAGGAATACCAAGACAGACATATAATGAAACTGCTACTGGCATCCTCAGTACTGGAATTCTTCGCTGGCAGCTGAAGATGAGGACGTAGCGTATATAGGCATGTACCGAGTTCTGTAATGTCTTTTCCTCAGTAAAGTCTAACAACAGAAATGACACTCACTAAGGATTGCAATGCTGTCCACAGATAGGCGCCTCTATGCTTTTTGCAGCTTTGATTATTGCAATCTTCTGGCAAGTCAAGGAAGATCCCATCTCCGCTTTCAAGGACAGGTTGGTGGCTAAAGTATTATTCCTATCAGTGTCCATATAGACAATGTAATTTATGTCGTTGTAGTTAATATATAACTTGTGAGTATAATGCTTGCCACCATTATGGCATTCATTTTTTTCCCTTTTTTCATGTTGTGGCAGTTTTTGTGACATAGGGAAAGCAGTCTAATTGGTTATTAGCATGTTGTGTCATATTACGTCATGCAGGACTCCAGTCTATCCCTCTATTGTGCTGTTGTGTCATTATATGTCCCATAGGGCTGACAGTCTATTCCTCTATTATCCTGTTGTGTCATTCTATGTCCCATAGGGCTGACAGTCTATTCCTCTATTGTGCTGTTGTGTCATTATATGCCCCATAGGGCTGACAGTCGATTCCTCTATTATCCTGTTGTGTCATTCTTTGTCCCATAGAGCTGACAGTCGATTCCTCTATTATCCTGTTGTGTCATTCTATGTCACAGAGGGCTGACAGTTGATTTCTCTATTATCCTGTTGTGTCATTCTATGTCCCATAGGGCTGACAGTCGATTCCTCCATTGTACTGTTGTGTCATTCTATGTCACAGAGGGCTGACAGTCGATTCCTCTATTATCCTGTTGTGTCATTCTATGTCCCATAGGGCTGACAGTCGATTCCTCTATTATCCTGTTGTGTCATTCTATGTCACAGAGGGCTGACAGTCGATTCCTCTATTATCTTGTTGTGTCATTCTATGTCCCATAGGGCTGACAGTCGATTCCTCTATTATCCTGTTGTGTCATTCTATGTCACAGAGGGCTGACAGTCGATTCCTCTATTGTCCTGTTGTGTCATTCCATGTCCCATAGGGCTGACAGTCTATTCCTCCATTGATCTGTTGTGTCATTCTATGTCCCATAGGGCTGACAGTCTATTCCTCTATTGTGCTGTTGTGTCATTCTATGTCACAGAGGGCTGACAGTCGATTCCTCTATTATCCTGTTGTGTCATTCTATGTCCCATAGGGCTGACAGTCGATTCCTCTATTATCCTGTTGTGTCATTCTATGTCACAGAGGGCCGACAGACGATTCCTCTATTATCCTGTTGTGTCATTCTATGTCACAGAGGGATGACAGTCGATTCCTCTATTATCCTGTTGTGTCATTCTATGTCACAGAGGGCTGACAGTCGATTCCTCTATTATCCTGTTGTGTCATTCTATGTCACATAGCGCTAACAGTCTATTCCTCTATTATCCTGTTGTGTCATTCTATGTAACAGAGCGCTAACAGTCTATTCCTCTATTATCTCTCATTTTATACTGACCTGTTGATTTTTCTTTCGTTCCGTGTCTACGGTGGATCTTCTACTTTAACTGGCACATGTTGAAATTAAAATAACATTAGAATTGAAAGTGTGCAACCTGGTTGTAAAACTGTACAATTTAGGGTCCCCGATTTGGTCCAGGCTTTCAAAGACTGCACATGCCGCGTCAGTGCGTGTCATCTTTTTTCTATTTGTGTCCCCGACTGTCAAAATTACTACCTAAATAGGTGATTTATTTTGTTACTTCAATTCTTTTTGTCTCCAGTGTTACACCTGCTTGATCTGTTATGGCTCCTTTTTGCAAAACCCCCTATTCTTCTTTGCATATCATTGCTGTTCTTATTTAACCTGTAAAATCGAGATCCACCAGTTGAGTTTTCTCCTCCTAGTCAATGCCGGTCTTTGCAGCACAACAGTTTTCTTTATTCTCTTCTTATCTTCATCTTTTACAGCTTCGGATGTCGAGGGGGATATAAAGTTATAATGTTTCCTCACCAATTCAATAGTTATATCAAATAACAGGGAAAGGGAAAGGAAGGGGGCGGGGAGGGGATAAAAGGCACTGCTGTTTCCCTCCATTCTCAGATGTAAACCATTCTCTTCAACTGTCATCTGGACGCTTTCCTAGCGCCATGCCTTTAAATAACTGTGTAAGGATACAATGATCTGAACTACAGTTGTGTAGGCAGGTAAACTATTTGCACAACAGTTGTGTAAAAACTATTACTGTCTCTTCAACAGTGTTTTAAGCTTGACTATTATGTCTACAATAGTTATTTAAGCGTAACTGAGGTCACCACAATAGCAGCAACAACGATAGCGGCACCCAGTATAGCTACAACACTAGCGGCACCCAGTATAGCTACAACACCAGCGGCACCAACTATAGCTAACAAAAATATTGGCACAAACAATAGTGGCACCAAAACAAGCTACAACAATAGCCCTGCAAACGAAAGCGGAACCAACAATAACTACAACAATAGCAGCAATAATAATACCTATTATACTAGAGGCGCTCAAAAAAAAAAAAAAAAAAACTAAATCACTAGCTTAGACAGTAGCGAAACAAACGATTGTTACAACAACAGTGCACAAACACTAGTTACTACAATAGTGATACGAACAATAGATACAACAATAGTGGCGCGAACAGTTGTGGCATGAACAATACATACTACATTAGTGGCACAAACAATAGCGACGACAATGACACAAACAATAGCTACAACATTAGTGGCACAAAGAATAGCAACAACAATATTTGCATAAACATTAGCTACAATAATTCGAACACAAACAGAAGATACAACAATAGTGGCACAAATAAAAGCGTC